GACCTCCTGGGCTGGGTCAAAGGCCTCCAGGGACGGGCCGGCGGGCCCAGCGCCGAGTCCTCGCTCGCCGCCCAGCAGGTAGCGTCCGGCTCTGCCTTTTGGCGGCTCGCCGTCGTGGCAGGAGAGACGCTAATCACGCTGTTCATGTTTCCCCCTGAAGGCCATCAGTGAGCAGCTGGCGGGCAGGAAGGAGCAGGTGGCCGAGGCCATAAGGAGCACACAGGTCTTTCTTCTGTCCAAACAAGCCAGCAAGTAAGTGAGAAGCTTTAGCTCCGCCCTTTTTCTTACACAGATGCTTTTGAACTTCAGGGCTAAACCGGTCCCTATTTTTGACCAGTTGTGAGTGTCATTCATTTAGAGGTAAAATAAAAAAAAATTCAAATCCAAGAACTGGCCTTTAATCTGAAAATGAAATTAAATGAAAGCTATTTAATGAACCAAAAGCACAACCGGCCGACCAGGTGTTAGTCACAGCTTAGTAGTCATTCAGCTACAAAACTACATAAAAAAACTAAATTTACATGATAAAGTTAACAAGTTCAACAAGCAAAAGCCCAGCAGCAGCTCACAGGACCCACAGAGCGCCCTCTGGTGGCCTCAGACGGTAATGTTTACACCTGTTTTATGTAAAACAGCATGAATTAACATTTAGAAATGTATATATTATGAAATATGAGTAGCATGACCAACCAAACTATGAAAAAAAATTGATTCAGACATCCGAAAAATCAAGGATATGCTCTCAGTTTTAGGGGAAATAGGTGATATGGATGGTGGGTTATAAGGCAGGAAATCAAAGGGAATTGTTGGAGAAAAGTGGAAAAAAAACCCTTTTGTTATTTTTAAGAAAAGGCCTCGCTTTTCCTCAGGTTGTCCCCAGAGGAGCGCGCTCAGGTGGAGGCTCAGCTGGACGAGCTGACGGCCGCCTACGACCAGCTCCGGCAGAGCTCCAGCCAGCAGCTGCAGCAGCTGGAGCAGCAGCTGGCCAAGGAGGAGGAGAGAAAGGTAGATGGCTGTAAGGGCCGCCACGTCGGCAGGTTTATCACCAGAACGGGCTCCGCTCCGACCAGTCTGAAGGACAAAACTCCACAAAAAACACTTTGCTTTGAGCCTCAATACGCCTGCGAGCTAAACGTGGATTTGTGTGTGTGTGTGTTACAGCATGCTGTGTGTTCACAGAGTGCGTTTTTGACCCGAATCACCACCATTGACATGTTTTGGTTTAACAAACATCACAAACCCTCTTCAGTCGCGCGTGCGGTTCAGCTAAATCCTTTTTTCTTCACATGGAAAATCCCCCAGAGCAATTCCTCGTCATCCAGGGAAACTGCGATGCTTGAAAAGCGGGATTTTCCTTTGTGAGGAGAGGTTTAGTGGACGCGCCGTCTGAAGGGGGCGGCAGCATGGAGTCATCCACCCTCATGTCAGCCTCCTAAAACCTGCAGTCATGTCATTAACCGCCGTTTTTCCTCCTCTTCATCGTCACCATCGGAGCAGCTGAGCTGCTAATACTGGGCCGTAGTGCTGCATTACAGCCCCCTTAGAGGGCAACCCCCCCCCCATCTCTGTAGCTACAAATAGCTTAGATGTTTGTTTTTTTATGGACCTCCTGCACATTTCACTCTCCCCCCAGTGGATACAGTCCTCAGTAGCAGTGCTTATCCAGCCCTCATTTCTTTAAATATGTCAGAGAAACAGCACACAAATGCAGAATAGAGGGGAAACATTTCCTCTCAGAGCTCCTTCCTCCTCCATCCTGAGGCAGATAATCCCACACTGCTTCATAATGTGGAGCTCCGGCTCTGGAGGATCCATCCCTCCATCACAGCTGCTGGGGTTCAGTCCACTTCTGGTTCCTCTGGCAGAGCGACAGAGCCTTTCCTCCCTGTTTCCTTCCTTCAGAGGGGCTTCTTGACAGCCCCCCTTCATGGAGAGCATTTCTGATGAGGCCACCAGGAGACAGTCAGCTGGAGGTCCAGATGCAGCTCTCAGCTCCTGTTCAGCTCTCTGCTGGATCTGTTCCTCTTTACCTTTCAGATCCTCTTCATCTGCTGGATTAGAGAGTTTTTTAGACCCAGCTCTTCTTATTCTGTCCTCCACTTCTTCTGTCCAGTTTCCTCAGATGTTTTAAGGACTCTCTGCTCACCAGCTGAGATCTGCCAGTTTTCAGCCAGCAGCTCTTTAGCTCTTAGCTCTCTGCTGATTGGACACAACACTAGCTCATCCCTTGACTTAGGGCCCTTTTTCAGCCTGAGTGATTCAGAGCTCAGTGTTAAGTGGTCTAAAAAAGAAAAAACACAAAAAATGCACTAAGAATTGGAGAAAAACTCCAAAGAAAAACTCTGAGAGAGTTCCAGGAAGCCAGAGAACTGTTCAGGAACACGTTAGGGGGGTAAAAGAAATCTGAAAAGAAATGAGGGGTGGATCAGTGCTGTCTTTCTGAGGGAGCCACACATCCATTGCTGTACGTTCATAAAACTGTCCCCCTCCCTGTGAGTTTCATACCTCAGTCAAAAACGGGTTGAATGGGTTGGGTTGGGTTAGGATCTCAGATTGTTCCAAAGCAAATGTTTGTCCCTCTGCTGGTACCATGTGGACCTCAGGTTTCTGTGTGAGTAGAAACGCTGTCAGAAGGTCATAAGACGCCTCGGCCGGCCGTGCCAAAACACACACTCACCTCACCATTTGAGCATGTTGTGTCCAGATCACAAGAGTTTGTGTGTGTGCGAATGAGAGTTGTTGTCTTTGTCCTAATGCAAACTGTCAATGTGTGAAACTTTAAACCCGCGTTGTGCTTGAAACTCACTAACAGCTGCCAAAGGAGAATTGCGGACATCCGAGCAGAGGATCAGAGAGATGGAGAACAAATCAGGACAGAAACAGACTCTCCAAGTCTCAGATCAGGCTTTTGTGTAGCAGGGCTAAGTGAACACACCGCACAGGGGGAGGTACTAAACTGGATTTTAAAGGACTGGAATCATCCGGAAGGTTTTTCCCCACATGATTTCTGATCCACGTGGTCATTTATGGCTTCCGCTTAGTGGTTTGAATGAGCCTGAGTGAGCTCCCAGCACAGTCAGAAGTGGTATTCAGAGTTAGGAGTCAGGTCGGAGAGTGGCATGCCCAACGCTAACAACCAGCTTCTCACCTGTGGCGCCGCCTCGCTGTGCCGAGCCAATCAAACGCCGGCCCGCTAAGTGTGCGCGCCACGGGACGAACCCGCGGGGTAAGTAGCGCCTGCTTTCTCTTACCCTTTAGTCTGTAGCTCCTGGAGACTCTCCTCTTCCTGTGAATACTCTAAAACTGCCTGCTGACTGTTATTGTCTTTTCTCTCTCGCATGCTTAAAGCTTAAAGTTACTGTACTCGAGCTTCCAGTTTGTGCCGATCGGTAACCCAACAGGAGAGTTTTGTATCTTTAACCATATTTCAGCTGCACCGGTGCAGGTTTTTGTGGGTTTTCCTCTTTTTCTGGCTCATGGTAGTTTGGAATCTAAAGCAGTAACTTGGTGTGAGGGCGCTGCTTTCACTGACAGCTGGAAGAATGAGCTCTGTTCTGTTTCCCGTTGCAGGACCAGGCTGCCGTGGCCGGCGTGATCGACCTGGGAACGGTGGAAACCTTCTCGGTGTTCCAGGCCGCCCGGCGAGGCCTGATCGATCAGGACAGCTGCCGCACCCTGCTGGAGGCTCAGCTGGTTCTGGGCGGGCTCCTCCAGCCCGACTCCCCGCTCCCGCTCTCCCTGGAGGAGGGCCTGGCTCGAGGCCTGGTGAACGAGCACGGCAGGCGCTCCCTGTCCGAGCTGGAGGAGGCCCTGGGCTCGCTGGAGGGGGCCCTGGGCCCCCCCGGCTCGGCGCCATTGCTGCCGGCCGTTGCAGCTGTGGAGGCGGGGCTAATCCGGGAAGAGGTGGGGCTGCGCATTCTGGAGCTCCAGATGAGCAGCGGCGGCCTGAGAGACTCCTCCGGGAACCTCCTGAGCCTGGAGAGGGCGGAGGACCGGGGGCTGCTGCCCCCCCGGGTGTCCGGCGGGCTGCAGGCCAGGCGGCAGCGCCGGGAGCTGCTGGACCCCAACACGGCCGAGAGCGTGAGCCTGGCGGAGCTGCGGCGCCGCTGCGTCCCGGGGGGGGACGGCTCGGGCCCGCCGCTGCTGCCCGTCCGGCAGCGGGCCGGCGGCGGCGTCCGCCTGCGCTCGGGCCGGACGGTGGGCGTGTTCCGCGCCGTCCAGGAGGGGCTGGTGGAGCGCGGCGTCGGCGTGCGGCTGCTGGAGGCCCAGCTGTTCGCCGGCGGCGTGGCCGACCCGCGCTGGGGCCACCGGCTGGCGCTGGGCGAGGCCGTGCGCCTCGGGCAGCTGGACCAGGAGCTGGCCGGCGCCGTGCTGGCGCGGCAGCTGCGGGGGGGCGGCGTCGTGGACCCGCTCAGCGGCGAGCGGCTGGACCTGGAGGAGGCTGTCCGAAGGGACCTGCTACCCCCCCGGCTGGGCCTGCTGGCCCTGGACGCTCTGGGGGCCTTCCTGGGACTCCTCTGGCCCGAGTCGGGGGAGCTGCTGCCCATCGGAGAGGCTCTCCAGCAGGGACTGGTCTCGGGGGACCTGGCCAGGGACGTCCTGAGGCAGAGGCACACCGTCGGGGGTCTCTACAGACCGGAGACCCTGCAGGTACTGCCCCTGGACGAGGACGCAGAGGACACCCTCCAGCCCGCCGCTATCCGCTGCCTCCAAGACATCCACATCCCAGATGTTCTGCCTGATGTGAACCGGGCGGGGACGCCGTCTCTGAAGCCCCCCGGCTCCTCCCCAGGTCCAGATCCTGCAGAGCCAGCCAGGCACAGGCTGCTGGTCCATCTCATGACCCACAGCTACGTGGACGCTGGCTCCGGCCGGCGGCTGGTGCTGCTCGACCCACAGCTGGAGGCCGTGGTCAGAGCCACAGCCGGGCAGCCTCCCAGCAGCTCGGAGCGGCAGGAGGGTCCAGTCGGACGGTTTAGTGGGTCTGAAGAAGCTGCAAATGGAGGAGGACTGGAAGTGGGAGGCTTAAAGGGGAAAGGACCAGAGCCGAGGGGACGGGTGACAGACCAGATCAGCCCAAATGTGGACATCTCAGAGGCTGGAAAACCAGATGTGGATGTTACAGAAACTGGAAAAAGAGATGTGGATGTTACAGAGGCTGGAAAACCAGATGTGGGAGAGTCTCGGGTCGATAAACCAGATGTGGCCGCCTCAGAGGCTGCTGAACCAGATGTGGCCGTCTTAGAGACTGGTAAACCAGATGTCAGAGAGTCTTGGCTCGTTAAACCAGATGTGGCCGTCACACAGGCTGAAGAACCAGATGTGGCCGTTTCAGAGGCTGCTGAACCAGATGTGGCAGAGTCTCAGCTCAATAAACCAGATGTCTCCATCTCAGAGACTAGTAAACCAGAGTCTCGGGTCGATAAACCAAATGTGGCTTTCTCAAAGGCTGGAAAACCAGATTTGGATGTTACAGAGACTGGAAAAACTGATGTTAATGTAACAGAGTCTGGAAAACCAGATATGGGAGAGTCTTGGCTCGTTAAACCAGATGTGGTCGTTAAACAGGCTGAAGAACCAGATGTGGCCATCTCAGAGGCTGGTAAACCAGATATGGCAGTTTCAAAGGCTGCTGAAGCAGATGTGGCTGTCTCAGAGGCTGAAGAACCAGATGTGGCCGAGTCTCGGGTCAATAAACCAGATGTGGCCATCCCAGAGACTAGTAAACCAGATGTGTCCGAATCTCGGGTCGTTAAACCAGAGGTGGCCGTCTCAGAGGCTGAAGAACC